TCCGCCGCCGCGACGCGGACCTTGGGGTCCGCGACCTCGCCCTGGAGCCGCGCGGCGTGGGCCGCGCGGAAGAGGTCGTCGCGGAGGAGCACGGCCGAGGACCCGTCGCGCGCCATGCGCGCCCACCGCGCCGCGCTCGGCGCGACGACGCGCCGCGCGATGGCGTCGCCGTGGTTCGCGCGGCGCACGAGCTCGCGCGCCTCGCGGAGGGGCACGCCGAGGTCCAGGGCCACGAGCTTGCCGGGCCGCGGGCCGAGGCGGAGCGGGCCCTCGGCGGATTCGGCGGCGGGTTTCTCGGCGGCCGCGGGCCCCGGGGCCGCGCGCGGCGCCGCCGTCAGGGCGTCGGCGCGCGTCGCGTGGACCGTGAGCGTGAGGGCCTTGAGCCCCCGCTCGGCGACGGCCCGGTGCGCCTCCTCCCACTCGAGGCGCGCGACGCTCGGATCGCCGGCCGCGACGACGACGCGGTCGCCCTCGTCGTCGGTCCAGGTGAAGCACATGCGCTTCTCGTCGACCTTGAAGACCGACGCCACGCGCCGCGAGAAGCGGCCCCAGCCCACGCCCCCGTCGGAGCCGCGCTGCGGCGCCGGCCAGCGCCGCACCTCGCCCGAGCGGGCGTCGACGACCTACGGAATGTTCCGTGTGTTGGTGGGGGGGGCTTTCGGGCGGAAAAGGGGTTACCTTGAGGGGCAGGAGGAGGTTCGACTGTTCGGCCATGACTCTCTTGTTCAGCGCGGATCGAAGCGGCCGCGAAGAACTCTCGAGGGAAGAGCTGGCTGCTTGGATGCGCTCGTCAACAGCTCGTCAACATCTCGGTGCTTGTGGCAATGTTGAGCGATAGTTGCAGGCTCGCATGGCCTGGAACGTCGAGTTATTAAGTTATGGCCTCCCTCGTAGATGACGCAACCTCTTCGGAGGAGGAAGACACGGCACCCGTGCGCGCGAACTTCGGATCGCTGCTCATGGACGACGACTCCGACTCGGAGCACTCCGACGGCCAAGACGCCGCGCCGACGCCGGCGCCCGCGCTCGCGCCGGCGCCCGCGCCCGCGCGCAAGGCGAAGAAGAAAAAGAAAAAGAAGAAGCAGCAGCAGCAGCAGCCGCAGGACGAGGAGGAGGACGACAACGACGACGACGACGAGGCCGCGCTGGCCGCGGCGATGGAGCGCGCGACCGCGGAGCAGGCCGCGCTCCCCGCGGCCGCCGACCCGAACGCCGTCGCGCCCGGCTACCTCCGCTTCGACTTCGGCCGCGTGGACCCGGAGCGGGAGCTCGCGAGCCGCTTCGGGTCGTCCGGCGGCGACGGCCGGCGGCGGGGCCTGCGCGGCGGCGGCGGCGGCGCGCGGCGGGGCGTCTTCGGCCCGGCCGCGGAGGGCTTCGAGCCCGCGCCGACGTTCGGCAAGGGCGGCCTGCGCTGGGTCGCGGCGGCGCCGCCGGCGCGGGGCCGGCCCGGCGAGGCCTGGCACGCCTTCGAGGCCTCCGACGGCTACGCGGCGGCGTCGCAGGCGCTCGCGGCGCTGGTGGGCGACCCGAACGAGCTCGGCCGCCACGTCGCCAACAACGCGCACCACGCGCCGGCGCTCTGCGCGCTGGCGCGCTTCGTCTGCCGGTTGAACAGGCCCGAGCTCGCGGGGCCCCTGCTCCTGCGGGCCGGCGCGGCCTACGAGGCCGCGATGGCCGCGAACAGCGAGAAGACGCGCGACGCGGTGAGGCGCGCCGCGATCCGCGTCGACGCGACGGAGCCCGAGCACGCGCCGCTCTTCGTCGCGCTGCACCGGCGCGCGCGCTGCGCGGCCATGCGCGGCGCGCCGGAGACGGCCGCGAACCTGTTCCGGCTGCTCCTGTCCTTGGACCCGCGCGGCGACCCCTGCGGCGTGCTGCTGCGGCTGGACGCGGACCTCCTCGCCGCGGAGCAGTACGACGCCGTGCTCGAGCTCCACGGCGCGAACGTGCAGGTCGCGGCGCTGCCGGCGGCCCTCGCGAGCGCCGCGTGCCCGCTCTTCGACGACCCGCCGCGCGCGGCGAAATCGAAGCCGGCCGGGCGCCTCGCGCCGTCGACGACCGCGCTGCTCCCCGGCCTGTGCCTCAACCGGGGCCTGGCGCTCCTGCGCCTCGACCGGCGGTCCGAGGCCGTCCGGGCCGTCGCGGAGGCGCTGTCCATGTTCCCGCACCTCCTAGCCTGCGTGCTCGACGCGTGCGGCGTCGACGCGGATCGCGACCGGTCGACGAACTACGACTTCCGCGAGCTCCTCTGGCACGACCACTTCCGCGCCAAGGCGCGCGACGAGGCGCTGCGGCGGGCCTTCGACGTCGGCGCGCTGCCCGTGGCGCTGGACGCCGCGTGCCTCCGGGGCCGCCACCTCTGGCGCGCGCCGGACGCGCTCCGCCTGCTCCACGACGGCGCCGCGGCGCTCGCGCGGCGCCTCGGCCCGGGCAAGACGTCGGCGAAGACCCTCGCCGTCGTCGACACGGCCTGGGCGACGTCCGCGCTGGCGAAGTACGCGGCCGTCCCCGTCGAGGAGTTCGCGGACGGCTTCCCGCAGCTGGGGCCCGAGGCCGCGGAGGGCTTCGACGAGGCCAACCTCTCGCCCGACGCGGCCCGCGAGGCCGCGCGCCAGGCCCAGGGGCCCGTGCGCCTCGCGCGCGGCCAGCGCGGCGCCGTGACGCTCGAGGACCTCCTCGACCGGCTCCCGCCGGAGCTCCGCGCGGACTTCGCCGCGCGGCTCGACGCGGGCGTCGCGCCCGAGGACGTCCAGGACGCGCTCCTGGCGCTGATGGCGTAACGGTTCGTGTCGCTTTTAGACGCGTCTCGAGCTCGAGATGAAAGTTGAAGGCGAAGCTGAACATCGAGGTGTCATTTTTCGTCGACACACCTTCGGGGCTGCCCCGATCGATCTCCGGCGCCGTCGGGAGCGGCCGCGCCTGGGAGCAGCCGGGAGTGCCAACAGGTCGCGGCTGCATCCGGGCCGCGCCGCAGCGTTTGCAAAGGCAGCAGCCGATGGGCCGCCGCCGGTCCGAGGAGGACAGCATCGCGGCGCTCGAGTTCGCGTTCTGCAACTTCGAGAACGACGACGAGGCGCCGCGGCGGCCGTCGAAGCGCCGGTCGAAGCGGCGGCGCGAGCGGGAGAAGGACAAGATCGCCGCCAAGTACCTCGACGCCAACGAGAGCCTCGGCGCTCCGGACACGTTCTCCCACCCGAACCCGCTCGCCGACGACGAGCGCAAGGAGGACCCGCAGACCCTGAGCCGGTTATCGTCGTCGTCGTCCGTGTCGAGCCTCGGCGAGGAGGCGACGCGCGTCCGCGGCCGGCGCGCGCCCGCGTGCTTCGCCGCCGCGGCCTCGGGCCTCTTCGCGGTCGCGTGCTACGCCGCGCTCGCCGCGCCGCCGGACGGCGCGACCGTTGTCGGGGCCTGGGCGGCGCCGCGGACCCTCGGCGGCGACGTCGTCGCCGTCGCGGACGGCGGCGACCTCGAGGCGCTCCAGTGGCGCTACGAGGGCTGGGACGGCGCGGCCTACGCGACGAAGACGTCCGCGCCGCTCGCGCTCGCCGCCTGCGGCCTGCGGCCCTACGGCTGCGTGGGGTCCTTCTCGCTCGGCGGGGCCTACGGCGACGCCATCTTCGACTTCGTGGAGATCTCCGCGAAGGCGAGCGCGGGCGTCATGGACGTCGCCGTCCGCGAGCGCCGCGACGCGGGCGACGACACGACGCGCTCGCTCCGCGTCGACTACGGCGCCCTGCCGGCCCTAGTCACGGCGGAGGTCGAGCTCTCGCTCGCGGAGTCGGAGGAGCGGCGCCCGTTCCTGCGGCGGCGGCGGGCGACGCGCGCGGTTCGCTACGCGGGGTCGCGGACGCGGCTCCAGGACCCGGACGCGGCCCGCGGCGCGAGGCTCGTGCTGCGCGCCAGCGGCGCCGTGGTGCGCGAGGAATCGCGGCCCCTCGCGCTCTCGATCCTCGCGGACCTCGGCGGCGCGCTCGCGGTCGTCGCCGCCGGGATCGCGCTGCTCGCGGTCGCGCTCGCCGCGGCGCGTTCTTTGGCGCGCGCGCTCCGCCGCCGCCGCGGCGGCGCGGCGCCGGCGCCGGATGTCATCGACGTGTAAGTATTTCTTTTTTTATCACAGCTTCGTTTTTAGTCGTCGCGGTCGGTGCGCCAGAAGGCGAGGACCGACGTGAATACGTCGTCGGGCGTGTCCAGGAAGAGCCGCTCGTGCGCGCGCACGCTCGACGACGGTGCCGCGCGGCCGCGCTCGCGGAGGGCCGGGAGCCGCTGGCGGAGGGCGAGGAGCTCCTTGCGCGGCGCGTTGACGTAGGGGAGCCAGCCGCCCGCGGCGCGGACGGCGGCGAGGACGTCGGCCATGGTTGGTTGGCCGCAGCGTCGCGCGAGGGCCTCGGGGTCGTCGCCGTTGTTGTTGCGCGCGTCGAGCGAGAAGCCGCGACTCAAGAGGAGCTTGCACATCTTGGGTTGATTGCACCCGGCTGCGAAGTGGAGCGCGGTCATATTATCATCCCCTTTGCGATCGTCGACTCGCGCGCCTGCGTCGAGCAGCAGGACTGCCGCGTCGCAATGGCCTTTACAAGAGGCGATCTCCAACGCCGTCCAGCAATTGTCTTCCTCACGCAGGTTGACATCGGCGCCGCGTTCGAGACAACAAGTGACGGCCGAAGACCAGCCCTCTTGCGCTGCACAAAAAAGGAGCGTAAGTACCTCCTCTGTTTCCCAGCTTGGATCCTCGATGCGCACACGTTCACTACCATCGCTTCTGTCGAATGTCACCCAAATAGGCGCATCAATGTCGCCGCCCGCAGCATGATAGGGCACAATTTGGTCGATCAACGAGCGTTCGAAAGAGCTGGCCATCGTGTTGGCTCGGGCTGCTGGACAATGCACCATGAAGCCAAGTTGAGGCGCGAGGCGATGGGAGCTCAAGCTTGAAAGTTTTCGAAGTTCGCCGCCAAAAAACCAGGCGCCCTTCGCACGAACGATGGTCAAGTCGAACAAAAAAAAATCGTCGAAGAAGCGCTCCAAGGCGAAGAGCAAGAAGCAGGCCATGCGGAGCGCGACGTTCGCGGCGAAGAAGCTCATCGACAGCGCCATCGCCGCGGGCGTGCGCGCCCAGGCCGAGGACGCGGCGGACGAGGGCGACGAGAGCATGGAGCAGGTGCTGCGGAACAAGAAGAAGTCCGTGCGGCGCGCCGCCGCCGCCGCCGCGCGGCTCTTCGAGATGGCGCTCGCCGAGGACACCGAGGGCGCGCGCGCGCCCGCCGACGCCGACGACGCCGACGGCGATGAGGACGACGGCGACGGCGACGACGACGCCGAGGGCGAGGACGCCATGGACGCCGACGACCCGCTGACGTCCATGGCCGCGCAGGGCTCCGCGTTCGCCGCCGCGGCGATCGAGCGCGCGCTCAAGACCGCGCGCGTCGAGGCCCAGGCGACGGCGCTCCTCGAGGGCATGGACGTGTCGCGGCGCGACGAGCCGGCGCCGGCGCCGAGCGCCGAGCCCCCCGTCTACCTCGAGGACGCGTTCCGGTCCGCCGGCTACGAGTTCGTCGACGACTCGCCGGACGCGTGGGCCGAGTTCTGGGCCGACGCGCCGGACGTCGTCGCCATCGACGCCGAGGGCACGCACTTCACGCCGCCGCTGCTCCTGCAGATCTGCGCCCGGGGCCCGCGGAGGCGCGTGCTGCTCGTCGCGCCGACGGGCGACGCGCTCGGCGGCGACGTCGCGCGGCTCCTCGGCGACGCCTCGATCACCAAGGTCTTCTTCGGCCCCCCGAGCCGCGAGCACCTCGGCGCGGCCATCGCCAACGCCGTCGACGCCCAGGCCTTCGAGGTCGCCGCGACGGGCTACGTCGGCAAGCAGCGGGGCCTGGCGGCCGTCGCGGGCGACGCGCTCCGGCGCGCGCCCTTCGCGAAGCGCAAGGACCTCCAGCGGTCCTTCGGCTTCTACCGGTCGCGGCCCCAGTTCGGCCTCTCCCACAGCCGCCACTGGCTCTCGCCGGAGCAGCGCGCCTACGCCGCCGCCGACGCCTGGGCCACGCTCGCGCTCTACGAGTCGCTCGCGGCCGAGGGCCACGCGCCGGCCCGCGAGGACGCGCCCGCGACGGCGCCGCGCGGCGCGAGCCGGTCCCCGCCCAAGCCGCCCAAGCCCACCAAGGCCGCGGGGCTGCGGGAGCTCGCGCGCGCGCGCGCCGCGAGCCGGTCCCCGCCGAAGCCCGCCGCGCCCGCGCCCGCGGCGGACTTCATGGCCACATAACACCCTACTCTAGAGCTTCGAGGACGCGTGGAGGAGGAGGGCCGCCATCGCCGCCGTCGCGGGCGAGCCGACGCGGAAGACGCGCGCGGACTCGTCCTCGGACGACCGGCGGACGATGAGCGCGAGGAACTCGGAGTCCGCCGACGTGAACTTCCAGCCGAGGTACCAAGGAGCCGCAGGCGTTCGTCGCGCCGACGACCTGCCACGAGTACCCCGGAAACCAGGAGTCGGCGTTCGACTCGGAGGCGACGAGGAGCCGCGGGTCGCCGCGCGGGTAGGCGACGGGCGCGACGGAGAACGGCAGCTCCGCCGGATTGAGGCGCGCGGGCTGCGTGAAATCGTAGAGGCTGACCGGCGCGCCGGCCGCCGTCTTCGCGAAGGCGTGTCCGACGAAGGTGTCGGCCTGGGTCTTCAGCGTCTCGAGGTACGGGAGCTCCAACAAGTCGTCGAAGCCGCCGAGGCCGCAGCTGCCCTCGGAAGAAATGTGCGGGTTCGACGCCTGGTGGACGAGCGTGTCGGCCCGCGCGCCGAGTGCGACCGCGGAGAGAACGACGGCTTTGAGGAGCGCCATGCTTGTGGTCCGATGTGGAGCTCGGGCTGATCTTTGACCGCACCTTGATGCCCGACCGTGATGTTGCACCCAAGGGTTGCGACCTCAATGGCAATGGTGGGGCTGCCCGGCGCATAGAGAGGTATCACACGCACAAGCATGGGCGGAAAGAACAAGCGCGGCTTCGTCGACGGCTTCGCCGCCGGCGTCGTCAAGCTCTCCAGCACGATGCCGCTGGACACGATCAAGGTGCAGATGCAGCTCCGCAAGTCCGTCGACGCCGACTACCGGACCATGGGCTCGTCGGCGCGGGCCATCGTGCGCGGCCACGGCATCGCGGGCCTCTACACGGGCCTCGGCGCGTCGCTGCTCAACCAGGGCGGCAAGACGGGCGTCCAGTTCGCGGCCTACCAGTTCTGGCGCGAGTCGCTCGGGCCTCTGGGTTTGGAAGCCGGCGGGCTGGCCTTCTGCGCGGGCGCGTCCGCGGCGCCGGACGGCGGCGATTCACGTCGAGAGAGAGAGAGCGCGGATCGCTCGTCCCGAACGAACGCGCGGAAGGCCGGCCCGAGTATGGAAACAAAACGTCCCCCGTCGCAGGCGCGCTCGCGGGCTTGACGGAGGCGTTCTGCTGGACGACGCCCATCGAGCGCATCAAGACGCTCCGCCAGGCCGAGCTCAACGCCGCGGCGCCGCGCGTCGACGCGTCGTCGCCGCTCGTGCGGGTCGCGCTCGTCCACGGCCGCATCGTCGCGAACGAGTTCCCGCTGGGCCTCTGGCGCGGCACGGCGCCGACGATGGCGCGCCAGGCCAGCGGCCTCGCCGTGCGCTTCCTGACCTACGACCTCGCCAAGGACGAGCTCCGCCGCTCCTCCGGCGCGCCGCGGCCCTGGCACAGCGTCCTCGCCGGCGCGTTCTCGGGAGCGGCGTCCGCGGTCGTCAACCACCCCGTCGACGTCGTCAAGAGCCGCATGCAGGCCGAGGCGAGCCGCGCCGGCGGGCGCCGGCCGAACAGCGTCGCCTACGCGGCGCAGCTGCTCCGCTCCGGCGGCGCCGCGGTCTTCGCGCACGGCCTCGCGCCGCGCGTGCTCAAGATCATGTCCGGCCAGGCCATCGTCTTCGGCGTCTACGAGAACCTCCGGACCGTCCTAGCGAACTAGAGTATTCGAATTAGAAGGCACAACAACAACACGACGCGGGGCGACCGACCTGCGGGGGCCGTCGCCGTGGACGCGACTCGCGCGCGCCGCGCGCCAAAAAAAAAGCGCTCCACAAAAGCCCTCAGTTCTCCAAGGTGTGATATGGTGTTCTCTCGCCATGGCGTCGCCGCTGCAGAGTCTCAGGTCTCGAAAGCATCATCCCCGGGCCGGAAAGCATCGACGGAGCGCGGACGCGGGCGCGCGCGCTACGTCTTCGGCATGAGGCCGTAGGCCTCGGGCATGCGCTCGATGGTGTACTTGCGCGCCTGGATGTACATGATGGGCACGCCGGGGATCTTCCGCAGCCGCCGCTTCAGGTCCTTGTCGCAGGTCGCGACGATGAAGCACCGGTGGACGCGCGCGTGCTCGACGATGTCGTCGTCCGCGTACGTGCCCTTCTTCAGGTAGGACGCCATGCGCATGAACCGGGGGTCCTTGGCGAGGCGCAGCGCGACGCGGTACTTCGAGCCCAGCTTCTCCAGCTCGGCCATGACGCTGTCGAGAACGACGGGGATGCACTTGGCGAGGAGGCAGTCGGTCATGCCCTTGACGACGTCGATCTTGTTCTTGATGGAGAAGTTGATGAAGTTCGTGTCGATGAGCACGTGGAACGGCGGGCCCAGGGCGTCGTTGTGGGCGAAGAACATGGACGTCGGCACCTGCTCGACGTTGCGCGCCTGCGCCGCCGCCTGGCGCTTCGCCTCCTTCTTCGCGAGCTTGTCCTGCGTGCTCTTGAGCCGCGGGTCCTTGGCCGCGAGCACCTTCTTCACGTTCTTCACCTTGGCGGCGCGGAACTTCTTGCCCTTGGCCATGACGGCGCGAGCGACGCGAGTGCGGCGTCGAGCCGCGGCGCCACAAGCTCGCGATCGCCAGGATGATGTTGTCGCTCATCATTTACCCCGCCCACGCGGTCAATCTTGACTTTGGGAGGTGAGGCGCTCGGCTCGGAGAGCGGCCGCCGCAGCAGCGCGTGCGCGGCGCCCCCGGGGAGTGGGGCCGCGCGCTCCCGCATGTGCCTCGGGACCGTGCGTGGCCAGACCACTGCGAAGACGCCGCGCGCGAAACGGTCCGGGCGTCGTCGAAAACGCAACGGCCTCGTCGGAGCGTTCTCTCGAGACGGCTGGCGCGTGTTGGACGTGTTCCGGACCTCGCTGGCCGTGTTTCTCCGGAGGAGTTGCGGAGAGGGTTGCTACGAAGAACATGTCTCGCGAAACACGGCCAGATGTACCGTCGGACCACCCTACGGCCTCGATTCCTCGATTCTCATCGATTGGCGGCGGTCAAAACGAGCCAGTGTGCGGCGCCGCGACGCCCCTGGACGTCCAGAGCGGTTCCGATGCCCTCTCACGACCGATCACCGGGGCTCCGCTGGCCCGCGCGTCAGGTGAACGCGGCACGCGACAGCTACAGCTTGGGCGCCTCCTGCCAGCGCCTCGAAAACGACACCAACACGGTCTACAGCGACGACGCGCCCACGAACGCGGACTGGCGCTGGCGTTGCGTCGAGACATCTTGTCTCGACTCCAGAAGACGCTCGGCCGTCGAAACGGTGCTCTGCGCGCCTGTTTTCCTGCCGTTGGTGCCTCGCCAGTACACCCTAGCCGTACTAAACCAGTACAAACGCGTCGTATACCGCCGTATATACTCGCTTCGGCGCCCCGCGCGACCGCCTGGGGACCGGGCGGACTCCCTGGGCTAGCGTGGACGTGCGTGGCACCCGCCGCCGTCGGGTGGACACGCGTACGTGGCGCTCGCGCACGCCGGAAATCTCCAAAAACCGACATTTTCGGCCATAACTTGTGCCAATCGATGACCTAGCATGATCGGCTGCGGTTCCGGAGCCCCAGATAAACGTCCATCACGATGAGACAAGCAGGGGGTCCGCGGTCGAGGTGCCCAAAATCGTCGATTTTCCAGTGGCGTGGGCGGGGTAAATCATGCTGTGGCAATAAGGCCTGTGGAGGCTGCGCCGGCCGCGTGCTCGTTGTTCGGCAACTCCTCCCGCGTCGGCTCGATCGCTCGACGCGCACACACGCACCGATGGAGGTCGGCGGCCCGTGCAACGGCCGCGGCGGGTTGATGAACCGGTCCATCTACACGCTCGAGGAGGAACCGCCGGAGCCCCGGGAGCCGGCGACGGCGCGCCTCGCGGCGCTCTACCGGAGCGCGCGGCGGAAGCTGGCGGGCCTGCGGAGCCAGGAGGAGGCGGCCGTCGTGCCGCGGGGCTACGACGACGAGCTCACGGAGGCCGACGACGACGAGGGCGTCGTCGTCGAGTCGGGCGCGGCGGTCGACCGCGCGCGCGAGGCGGACGACCGCGCGGCCCTGGCCGCGGCCGACGCGGCCGTCGCCGCCGCGGACAGGGCCCTGGGCGAGGGCGGCGCCGGGAGCGACCACGGCTGGCTCCAGCGGACCTTCGCGCGGACCGCGGGGCTCTACCGGCTCCGGGGCTACGGCGGCCGCGTCGCCGTGAGCGTGCAGCTGGGCTTCGTCGCCGAGTCCATCGCGGCGGACGTCGCGCCGGGCGAGCCGGGCGCCGGCGACGACCCGGAGACCGCCGTCGCGGACGCCGCGTGGCTCGAGGCCGGCGAGGAGCGCGTCGCGCGCTTACTCCGGAGCCTCGTCGCGCGCATGGAGCGGCGCGCCATCGCCTGGTCCCACGTGCCCAACGTGCCGGACCCCATGCTCGGCTCCCAGGGCGCCGTCGGCCTCACGCTGCCCTTCATCAAGTTCGCCTACTCCGTGTCCATCGCGCTGTCGGTGTCGCGGTCGTCGCTCCTCCGGTGGATGGAGCACAGCGCGCGCGGGCCCGCGGAGGCGCCGGCCCTCGCGCCGCCGCCGCAGGCCGACGAGCCGCCGAGCCCCGAGCCCGAGTGGCCCGGCGACGCGGTCGCCGCGCCGCCGCCGTGCCCGGAGGTCCTCGCCGCGGACTCGCCGCTCGCCGCGCCCGACGAGTGGCCCGACAGCCCCAACGCGCCCGACGACCAGCAGCCCCGCATCGTCGAGGAGGACTGCTTCTAGGGCCCCGGAGGCGCCTGTAATTCCCCCTGTTTGCTTATTCGCCTCTAGTCTTCGTCGTCTGACAGCGCGTAGTAGTCGCGATGATCGCTGCGCCAGAACGAAAAGACGTGCGAGAAGACGTCGTCGGGGACGTCCTTGCGGAGGAAGAGGCGCTCGTGCACGGGGACGCTCGACGGCGTCGCGCGGCCGCGCTCGCGGAGTGCGGGGAGCGCGCGGCGCAGCGCGAGGAGCTCGAGGCGCGGCGCGGCGACGTAGCCCGTCCAGCCGCCTGCCGCGCGCACCTCGGCGAGGAAGGCGGCCGTGGTCGCTTTGTTCACGTGACGCGCGACGGCCTCGGGGTCTAGACCTTCGGGATCACGCAGGTCGAGCGACGCGCCGCGACTCAGCAGGAGCTTGCACATCTTGATGGAGCCTCTAAGAGCAGCGTCGTGGAGCGCGGCGAACCCATCCCAGGTATCTTCACAGAGAGGTTCCCCTCCATCACTGACATTTACAGTTTGATCATCGACTCGCGCGCCGCCGTCGAGCAGGAGCACCGCTGCGCGGAGTTTATTGTGAATAACAGCGCTGTGCAGTGGCGTCTGTGCCGTAAAGGGCCGGCCACGGTGCACGTCGGCGCCCTGTGCCAAGAGCCAGCTGATACTCGAGCACAAACCACCCCGAGCGGCATGATAGAGAAGGGTCTCCTCCCCCGCAGGGTGGATCGCCAGCCCACCAAGCCAACCAAGCCAAACAAGGGCGTCAAGGTCGTTGCCCGACGCACGGAAGCGCTGCATTTGGTCCATGAACCGTGTCTCCGTCACCATAGTGGAGGCTGCGCGCGCGCCGCACTGGCTCGACCCCGGGCTGCTCCTGCGACCTCAAGAAGTCCGCAAGGTCGACGACTTGGTCGACATTGCACTCGCTGAGCATGGCTGCGATGCGCATTGTGTGGTCGCGCGTCGCCGCGCCGCTCCTGCGAGCATCGCCGCTCCTCCGGTCCGCGCGCGCGCGGCCGCTCGCGCTGCTCGGCGCGCGGCCGCTGTCGTCGCTCCCCGCGAACCTGACGCTCGCCGAGCCCGCGCCGACGGCGACGACCCCGACGCCGCCGCCGCCGCGCATCAACTACGCGCTGCGCGGCGACGAGATCCACGTCGACGTCGAGGCCTTCTTCGGCGGCGGCGCCGCGGCGCCGGCAATCGCGCTGCCCGCGGACGTCTTCGCCGCGCCGCTCCGCGTCGACGTGCTCCACGACTGCGTCCGGTGGCAGCGCAACAAGCGGCGGCAGGTGCACCGCGCGTCGAAGCGCCGCGGCGAGGTCTCCGGGTCGACGCGGAAGCTCTACCGCCAGAAGGGCACGGGCAACGCGCGCGCGGGGAGCCTGCGGTCGCCGCTCCGAAAGGGCGGCGCGAAGGCGCACGGGCCGGCCGCGCGCGACTTCAAGACGGAGCTGAACAAGAAGCAGCGGCGCCTCGCCCTCCGCGTCGCCCTCTCGGCCAAGCTCCGCGAGGGCCGCCTCACGGTCGCGGCGTCGCTCGACACGCCGCCGAAGACGCGCGTAGTCGCGGACGCGCTCCGAGGCCGCGGCATCCGGTCCGCGCTCTTCGTCGACGACGACCTCGCCGAGGACTTCAAGACGGCCTGCCGCAACGTGCCCCTCGTCGACGTCCTCCCCCAGGTCGGCGCCAACGTCTACTCCATCCTCCAGCGGGACCACCTCGTCCTCTCGGAAAGCGCCGCGTGCGGACGGCCCGCGCCGACGAAACGGAAAGGACGCGCGTGTGGGGTACGCGCGCATCCCCCCGCAGGCGCGCGCTCGCCGCCCGCCTCGCGCCGTAGGACGCCGGGGGCCTTTAAACTCGCCTCGCAGACGGCAAGTTTACTGTTGCTGCTTCGCCGAATGGCCACAGCTCGTCCACACACTATGAACACGATGCTGTGCTGCGCCGGCGAGTCCGACGAACCCGATGGCTCCTTGTCGCTCGCGCTCAACGATGGCACGACCATGCCCCAGATCGCTTTTGGTCTTTATCTCATCCCGAAGGACGAGGCCGGCGCGTGCGTGCAGGCCGCGGTCGACGCCGGCTACCGCCACTTCGACGGCGCGGCGTTCTACGACAACGAGGCCGCCGCGGCCGCGGCGCTGACCCCCGACTGCTTCTACACGTCCAAGGTCTGGACGACGGACAAAACGTTCGACGACGCCGTGCGGTCCGTGCAGCGGAGCGCGAAGGAGCTCGGCCGCCCGTTGGACCTCGCGCCCGTCGGCGTCCCGCACCCGTGGCGACGTTCGAGAGCTTTTTGACCGGGAAAAAACGAGGAAATATGCCGTAGGCGCTCGTGCACTGGCCCGTGCCCGGCCACCACTTGGAGCAGTACCGCGCGCTCGTGCACTGCCGCGACGAGCTCAAGATCGTGAAGCGTTGCGGCCTGAGCAACTACACGCCGGAGGACTACGAGGAGCTCATGGCGTCGGGCGTCGCGACCGGCGCGCCGCCCTGCGTCAACCAGATCGAGGTCTCGCCGTTCCTCTACCGCAAGGAGTGCGTCGACTACTTCCAGTCCAAGGGCCTCGTCGTCCAGGCCTTCAAGCCCCTCCAGCGCGGCGCGGCCCTCGGGAACGAGACCGTGGGCGCCCTGGCCTCGAAGCTCGGCGTGTCGGCGGCCCAGGTGCTGATCCGCTGGGGCGTGCAGAAGCGGCTCAACGTCTGCGTCAAGAGCGCGAACCCGGGCCGCATCCGGGCGAACCTCGACGTGGCGGGCTTCGAGCTCTCCGAAGACGACGTGGCCGCGCTCGACGCGCTGACGACGCCGGCGGCGATCGACGCGTGGCGCGCGCACTACGAGAAGCGGCGCGCGGGCACGGCCGCGCCCTGGGGCGACGGCCCCCGCCCCGCGGCCTAGGGTCTCACTCTTATTATTTCCGCAGGACGAACGCGTCCAGGGTGCCGCCCGTCGCCGCGTCGACCTGCGTGAAGGACAGCTCGTCGCCCGTGGCCTCGAGCATGGCGTAGCCGTAGGTTTTGTTGTCCCAGAGCACGTTCCAGGGCGGGTCCTGGGCCGCGCTGTAGTCGCTGTGGCCCTCGTCCTCGCCGCCGGCGCCCGTGACGACGTGCGTCGTGCCGTTGAAGGGCCCGTTGCGCTCGTAGGCGTGTTCGTGGCCGCTGACGTAGAGGTCGACGTCGTAGGTCGCGAAGAGGCCGCTCAGCGCGGCGACGAGGCTCGCTTGGGTGCCCGCCGGCTCGCCGTCGGCGTCGAGATCCTTGACGCTGTGGAGGGGCCGGTGGCCGCCGACGACGACCCAGGGCGTCGCGGACCGGTTCACGGACTTGAGGTCCGCCTCGAGCCAGGGCCGCCAGTCGCCGCAGCCCAGCGCGTCGCAGAAGCCGCCGCAGGAGGCCCCCGGCACGTGGCAGACGTCGGGCGCGCCCGGGAAGTCGCTCTCGGTGGACAGCGCGACGACGTGGAGCGGGCCGACGTCGAAGCTGTACCACATGTTCGCCGACCCGCCCGACTCGGACGACGGCATGCGGAAGCGCGCGTTGTAGGCGCTAAAGTTCGAGAGCTTGAGGGCCCGCGACGCGTACTTGGCGACGCACGCCGGGCTGTGGCACTCGGCCTCGTGGTTGCCCGGCAGGACCATGTAGGGCGCCCGGGACGCGAAGGCACCGCAGGCCTGGTCCATGTACTCGTCCCAGGCGGCCTCGTAGGCCCAGGTCAGGGGCTCGTGGAGCAGCGCGTCGTCCGCGTAGCCGACGTCCCCCAGGTGCCAGAAGAAGTCGACGGTGTCCGCGACGCCGGCGAGGCCGTCCATCGTGGCCGCGCCGCCGTACTGGCGCCGGCCGAGGTCGCCGAAGACGGCCGCGCGCACGGGCGCGGCGAGGTCCCCGGCCGCGCGCGCGGTAGTAATGTTGAAGACGTCGGACCACGCCTTTTCGGCGCCGACGCTCACGTGATAGGTCGTCGACGGCGCGAGGCGCGTCACGACGGCCGTGTGCTGGAAGCTCTCGAGGTAGGACACCGTCGTCGCGTCGACGACCGCGTCGAGTTCCGCGCCGGCGGCGCCGTAGGCCGCGCGCTGCGTCGCGTTGCCCCGCGTCGTCCACGACACGCTGAGGCCGTCGCCGCCGGCGAACGCGAAGTGGACCTGCGTCGGCTCGTAGAGCGCCGCGCAGGCCGACGCGTTCGTCACCTCCTGGGACGAGCCGCAGGCGTTCTCGGGGCTGCCGTAGGCGTGGCAGCTCGAGTCGCCCGCGAGCGGGCACCAGCGGCAGCCCCCGAGCCACGACGACGCGGAAGCGCAGGCCTCGCAGCTGTCGTGGGCGTCGCAGTCCGTCGCCGCACCGAGGGCCAGGCCCGCCGCCGCGAGGGCGCGCCGCATAGATGGCAGATTCGAACGAACGGGCCAATGGGTGCGTCTGATGGCAGCCCTTCCAGGTTCAGCTCGAGATCTCGAGGGCAAACCGAAGGTTTCGCGCCAAGATGAAGTAGATGCTGCTCCTGTGAAATGTATGCCGTGGGCATGGCGGCGCCGGCGAGTCACAAAACGAGCGCTGCCAGCGGCTCGCTAGCGCGCTAGGAGCCAGTCGCGCGTTGCCAGCGGTCGCGGCAGCACGCGCGCCGTCTCATGCCGACGGCGCAGGAGCGCCTGGCGGCGGCGTCGGAGCGCGCGGTGCCCGTGCAGGTCGGGCTCATCGACGACGCCGTCGTCGTCGGCGCGGCGCCCTTCGACGTCGAGGAGTCGGTGGCCGACGTCGGGCCCTGGCTGCGTCGGCCGATCATCGCGCGCGAGGCCGTCGTGCTCGAGCGCCTGCCCGCGACACCGCGGCGCGGCGGGAGGCCCGGCCCGCGGCCCGAGCCCCCGAACCGCGTCGAGTGGTTCTGCTTCCCCGAGGGCGAGGTCGTGCTCAAGTGGCGCAAGAAGCGGCCGCCGAGCCGCTGCCACGCCTTCGCGCTCCACGCCGAGGGCCCGCCGGTGCGCGGCGTCGTGCTCGTCGCGTGGCGCGCGTGCGGCCGCTGGGCCGCGGACGGCGGCCGCTGGGCGCCGCGGGCGCCGGAGGCGCACCAGCGGGGCGGCGCGCGGTCCCGGAGGCTCTGGGCGCCCGTCGCGCTCTGCCTGCTCACGCGCCTGGGCGTCGTGCCGGCGCTCGTCGCGTGGCTGGAGCCAGGGCAGCAAAAGAGAGCGAAATTCCCAACTTCAAAGGCTCCGATCTCGGCCGGTTTCCACTCGTTTCGGCTGATTTTTGGACGAGCGATCATCTCTGGGAACGATCTCGAAGCGTGGATGCTTTTTCCGGAACGCGCGCGCGCGGAACACTCACGTTGAAGCGACGTTGAATCACCATTTTGCTGCCCAGGCTCGAGCAGGCCGAGCCGTGGCTCGCGGCGCGGTGGGCCGGCGGCGGCGACGACGGGCCGTCGCTCGTCGCGCGGCTCGCGCAGCTCGCCGACGAGGCGCCGCGGCCCGTGCGCGGCGCCCTGAGCCTGCTGGCCGCGGGCCCGCTCGGCCACCTCGTGGACGCGCGCGAGCGCGTCGGCGCGCCGTCGGCGCGCGCGGCGCGGCCCGCGACGCTCGCGGGCGGCGGCGCGCTGCCGCGGCCCGTCGGCGGCGGCGGGAGCCTGTGGCTGGCGGCGCTCCTCCTGGGCCCCGAGGGCCTGGCGACGGCGCTGGCCTGCGTGCTCCTCGAGCGGCCGCTGTGCCTCCACGCGGAGTCGACGACGGTCCTCGCGCCCGTCGCGGAGGCGCTCCTCGCGCTGGCGGCGCCGCTGGAGTGGGCCGGCGTCTACGTGCCCGTGCTGCCGAAGCCCCTCCTGGAGCTGCTCGACGCGCCCCAGGCCTTCCTGCTCGGCGTCGAGTCGAAGTGGATCGACCGCGGCTTCTACGCCGAGAGGCGGCGGGCCGAGGCGGCCGCGGGCGCGCGGGACCGCGAGCGGCGCGCGGCGCGCGGCGAGGAACCGGTCTCCGCCGAGGACCTGCGGCTGCCCGGCGCGGAATCGGGCCCCGACGTGACCATCGGCCCCGGCGTCGTCCTCTTCGACCTCGACGCGCGCGCCGTCGACGCGCCCGGCGGCGAGGACCCGCCGGCGCTGCCCCCGGCGCCGCGGGACGCCGTCGTCGCCGCGGCGCGCGCGCTCCGGGAGCAGGCCTGCCTCGCGGCGCACGGCGACGGCGACGGCGACGCGGCCGGCGAGGGCGCCGCGCGCGCGCCGCACGTCGGCCTCCAGGCCGCGGAGGCGCGGCTCCAGCTCGCCTGCGCGGCGGCGGTGCTCGACCTGCTGGACCCGGGCCACGACCGCGCGGCGGCGGCGGCGCCCGCGCGCCGCGGCCTCGAGCCGAAGACGCGCGGCGTCATCGCCGTCGCGCGCTGCGCCGCGGCCGCGCGCGCGTTCACGCGGGCCCTCGTCGAGACCCAGCACTTCCAGCAGCTCTTCGAGGGCCCCGGCGACCGCCTGCGCCGCGCGCGCCGCCACCGACGCCGCCGCCGCCGCCGCCGCCGCCGAGGGCGCGGCGGACGCGGACGTCGTCGCCGCGGTCCACGGGCCCCGCGACGACCGCTTCGCCTACCGCCTCCCGCCGCCCCTCGACCCGGACGACGACGACGACGGCGCGCCGCCGGCCGACGCGCCACCGCCGCCCGCGCCCGCCGCCGACGCGCCGCCGGACGCCGCCGCCGACGCGGCGGCGCCGCCGCGCCTCGCGTGGCGGCCGCCGCGGCTCCTCGACCACGTCGGCGCGCCGGCGCCGCCGCCGACGCGCGTCTACCGCTACGGCACCCTCGCGGACCTCCTCGGCGTCTCCCTCGCCGAGCTCCGCGAGGCCCTCGAGCCGCCCGAGCCGCCGCCGACGAACGGCGGCACGTCGCCGCGGTCCTTCGCGCGCGACGCCGACGCCGACGAGGCGTCGACGTCCGAGGAGGACAGCGTGAGGTAAACAAAATTAGACACTCGCTCGACTCGGAGACAGGTCCGAGGCCGGCCGCGAGAGGCCGACGGCTGCTAGGCGGCTCGAGTCGGGGCCCCGGGCCGACGGGGGGCGGCGCACGACGCTGACGGCGTCCCGGACGGGCTCTTGAAGTGGCTCCTCGGGACTTTTTTTTACGATCCCTCCCTATTCAAGGAGGCTTCAACCTCGAGGGCAAAACTTTTTTGCTAGAAGCTTGTGAAGAGCATGGTATTGATGGTGAGTCCATAGCCGGGCTGCCGCCCCACGACGGCTGATGGACGCGGCGGCGAAGCCGCCGCAACTAGATACGGTCGGCACGACGCCGCAGCTGCCGCCGCCGCCCGTGGAAACGCGGCCTCGAAGCGGCTCGGATCCGCGCGATGACGCCGACCTCGCGTCGCCGGCGAGCGATGGCGGGACCCCGACGGCGCTGACGCCCGTCGCCCTGCCCGTGCTCCCGCCGCACGCGTCGCCCGTGCCCCCCGCGCGCGCCCTCGGCGCGGAGCCGCGGCCGTTCGAGGCGGTCCGCGCGGCGCTCGGCGCCGCGGCGCCGCGGGCGTCGCGCGCGGACCGCTTCGAGCCGCTCGCGGCCGTGGTCTGCGCCGCGCTGTCGTCGGCGCTGCGGCGGCAGCTCGGCGTCGACGGCCTGTCGGCCGACGACGCGCGCGCGCTCCGCGGGGCCATCGCGCGGCGCGACCGCGACGTCCTCGCGCTGCTCTCCGCGGTCGCGGCCGCGGACGCGGCGCCGGCGGCGCCGGCGCCGGCCGCCGCCGGCGGCGGCGGCGGCGCGCGCCGCGGCCCCCGGGGCGCGAACGCGCTCGCGCGGCGCGCGGACCGCGAGGACGTCGCGGCCGCGCCCGTCGCGCTCGTCGCCGCGCCGCCGGTCGCGGCGGGCTCGCTGCTCGCGGCGGGCGACGACGGGTCCCGCGCCGCGCGGACGTCCTACGAGCAGGTCGACATCGCCTGCCTGCTGCGCAACGTCGTGGCGTCGTCGGCCCTCGACACCGCGCGCATGACGGCCTTCGACGAGAACAACGACGGCCTCGTGCAGTTCGGGGAGATCGCGCGCATCTTCGGCGAGCTGCTGCGCGTGCGGCTCCTCGACGGCGAGATCGAGGCGCTCTACGACCTGCTGGACAACTCGCTGGACCACATCCGCCTCGTCGACCTCGCGCGGTTCCTCGACCCGCGCGACGCGCCGCGCGGCGGCGCCGCGGGCGCCGCGCCGGGCCGCCTCGAGCTCGCGCGCGCGTCGACGGTGACGACCGTGGCCCTGTCGCCCGACGGGAGCCGCGTGGCCTGCGGCGGCATGGACTTCTACTGCGTCGTCTGGGACGCGCGCCGCGACCTGTGTGGAAATCAACCACTGGTTTGGGGGGTCCCCACCAAACTTCAGAACTCTCTATCTCAATCAAATCGAAGTCGATTCGGCTGATTTTTGGACGGATCGATTGCTCTCGTCGAGTTCTCGAAGCACAGCGGAAGCGTCTGGTCCACATCGTTCGATTAAGCTCACATTGAAGTCGGGTTGAAGATTTGATTTCCACACAGGCCGCGACGCGCGGCTCTACGAGCGCCGCTTCCCGAAGCAGGTCGGCGCGGTCGCGCTCGGCGCGCGGGGGCTCGCCGTCGGCTGCTTCGCGCCGGGCCACCTCGACTACGTCGCGGACCTCGGCGCCGGCGGGGGCGAACCGGCGCCCGGCGACGCCGCGTGGCAGGCGGGCCGCGACGTCAACGCGCTCGCGCTCTTCGAGCGCGCGGGCGAGCTCGCCGTCGCCGCGGGCGACGCCGTCGTCATCTACGCCGTCGCGCAGCGCGCGGAGCTCTACCGCTTCGAGGCGTCGGGCACGGCCTGGGGCGTCGCGCTCGGCGCGTCGGAGAACCACGAGCTCTCGCGCGCGCGCGGCGGGCCGCCGGTGCGCTTCGCCGTGCCGAGCCGCGACGCCGAGGACGCGGCCGAGTGGCCCGAGTGGGACTCGGCCCTCGCGCGCCAGCAGTCGACGCTGCGGCGCGCGAAGACGCACCGCGTGCTCGAGGTCGGCGCGTCCGGCGACGGCGAGGACTCGCGGCTCCGCGTGACGGACGCCGGGGCGACCTACGTCCACGAGGACGCGGCGCTGCGCGTCGTCGAGGGCGAGAGCTCGCGGACGCGCGTCGTCTCCGTCCACGAGAGCCTCGACAAGAAGCGCCTGCTGGGCCCAGGGCAGGACAAGAGAGCGAAATTCCCAACTTCAAAGGCTCCGATCTCGGCCGTTTTCCACTCGTTTCGGCTGATGTTTGGACGAGCGATCATCTCTCGGAACGGTCTCGAAGCATGGATGTGTTTTTTTGTTACGCGCGCGCGCGGAACACTCACGTTGAAGCGACGTTGAATCACCCTTGTGCTGCCCAGGCTGGGCCTCGACGCGGCGCTCGCGCTCGGCTGCGTCGCGGGCGCGGCGCTCCGGGGCCGGGGCGCGCTGAGCGCGGCGCAGTACGCCGCGGCGGACCTCTGGGTGACCTTCTTCTACCTCCTCGAGCTCGTGATCCGCGGCATCTGCCACGTCGAGGTGCACCACTCGCTCTGGAAGTTCGCGCGGGACCCCGCGTGCGTCGCCGACGGCGCCGTCGTCGCCCTGGGCCTCGCCGCCGTCTTCGTGCGCCACGCGCCCTACGTGTCCTGGGGCCTGGCCCTGAGCAAGTGCGCGCGCTTCCTCCGCGCCGCGCGGTCCTGCGCGCGCCACCTCCGGGGGCTGAGGCACGCGCGCGCCGCGTCCGGCCGGACCTACGCGGTCGAGCTCGACGGCGGCGCCGTCGTGGGCGACGTGGACCGGCGCGACATCCTGACGAACCCGGAGCGGCGCTACGTCGACATGCGCCGCGCCGCGGGCGACGAGGTCATGGCGCCGCGCGGCTTCGGCGCCGCGCGCGCGCGGAGCGGCGACGAGCGGGAGACGCGAGGGTCGCGGGGCCGCTCGGAGGCGCCGGAGCCCCTCGGCACGACGCCGCCCATGCCGCGGCTGAAGCGCTTCGCGTCGCGGCGCTGGAAGCGGACCCGGACGTCGCGCGCGGAGGCCGACGCGGACCCGCACGCCAAGGGGTCGCTCGGCGAGCGCGACCGCATGCCCGTCTGGGTGAGATTCCGCTGCGCGTCGCGCACCGTGGAGACGCACAAGTACGTCGCCTTCGGGGGCGAGTCCGGCCGCGCCGAGGTCTGGCGCTACGACGTCGCGGGCCGGCCGCGGCCGCCGGCGGACGGCGGCGCGCGCGACGCCGTCGAGTGCGCCGCGGGCGCGTCGCCGCGGACGAGCCGCCACGCGAGCCGGGCCTGGTCCATGCGCTTCGACCACACGGTCAACTGCGTGTCCCTGTCGGGCTCGACGCGGCGCGTCGCGGCGTGCGCGCGCGAGGTCGTCGTCGTCTACGACTTCGACAGCCGCTGCGTCGTCTTCCGGCTCGACGCGGGCGACGCGCTCTACAGCGTGGCCCTGTCGCGCAGCGGCAAGTCCGTGCTCTTCGGCGGCGCGTCCAAGGAGGTCAAGCTCTGCGACGTGACGACGGCCGCGCTCCGCTACGAGGCGCGCGCGGACGACCGCGTCCGCGCGGTCGCGCTCTGCGGCGACGACGAGGTGCTGGCCTTCGGGGGCTTCGACGCGACGCTGCGCCTGCACCACGTGGGCCGCGGCGCGCCCTGTGCCGTCGGCGAGTGCGGCGCGACCGCGCGCGCCGTGGCCGTCGACCGCGCCGGCGCCGTCCTCGCCGTCGGCGGCGACGACGCGCTGTGCCGCTGCTACGACCTCGTGCGCGGGTCCCTGTCGCAGCCTTCCTGGAGCGCGAAGCACCGGGGCAAGGTCTGGACCGTCTCTGTGACTCCGGACGGGACCCGCGTCGCGGCCGGCGACTACGCGAACGCCGTCGTGCTCTACGCCGCGGCCGACGGCGCCGTGCTCTGGCTCAAGACGTCGTGGCTCGGCAAGGGCGCGCCCTTCACCTGGGCCGTCCACTTCTCCGGCGACGGCGACACGCTCGCCATCGGCCACTGGGACGCCTACGCCTACCTCGTCGACGCGGCGGACCTCCGCGAGTTCGGCGCGATCGAGCGCGGCGACCGCGTCTACGCGGTCGCGCTGTCGAGCGACGGCGCGCTCGTCGCCGTCGGCGGCCGGGACAAGCGCGCGGCGGTCTACGCCGTCGACGGCGACCACATCGCCGCGCTCTTCGAGACGGTCCACGAGGCCTTCGTGTACGCGGTCGCGCTGAGCCGCGGCCGGCGCGGGAACCGGGCGATTCGAGCGAGCTTCGACGCGCGCGGAACGCGCGCGACCGTTCCGGAAAAAGCATCCGCGCGTCGAGAGCGCTCCGAGCGATGGTCGCTCGTCCCAAAATGAGCCGAAACGAGGGGACACGGGCCGAAAGCCCTTGACGTTGGGGCGTTCGCACCCCCTCGCGCCGCGCAGGCCACGACGACGCCGTCCTCGCCGTCGGCCGCGTCGACTGCCTCGTCGCCGTCTTCGACGTCGCGAGCGAGGCGCGGACGGCGACGATCGCCATGGAGGGCCTCGTGCAGAACCTCTGCTTCGCGCCCGCGGCGCGGGACCTCGCCATCGCGGCCGAGCAGAACACGGTCGACGTCTGGGACCTGTCGGACGCGTCGCGGCCGCGCGAGAAGCTCGTCGTGACGCGCCACGCGACGACGAACGACGTCGCGCTGAGCCTGCGGGGCTTCGCGTTCTGCAACGGCACGATCTTCAGCACCATGGGCGTCGGGAGCCGCGTGCCGGCCCGCGCGGGAAACGACCAGCGGAATGTCCGGCGAAACTTCGAATCTCTCTAGCTCGGTAAAATCGACGTCGTTCGGCTGATTTTTGGACGGATCGATGTATCTCGGCGAGTTCTCGAAGTAGAGCCAAAAAGCTCGTGTCGAAACCTTCGAAGACGCGCACATTGAAGTCGTGTTGAATATTTTTGTTTCCTAGGTGCCGGCGTGGTACGACGCGCTGAACCACGAGGTCGCGCGCGCGACGCTCGACCACCCGCGCGCGCTGCGCGCGGCGCTCCGGCTCCACCGCACGCTCGTGAACCAGGTGAACCCCGTGAGCGGCGAGTCGATCCTGCAGTACGCGGTGCGGAAGAAGTCGCGGCGCGCCGTGGACCAGCTGCTCCACGCGGACTGCCCCATCGGCCTCCTCGGCGACTGCAACGGCATGAACGCGATCACCGTCGCGCTCGCGAACGAGCGCAAGGGGGCGTTGAGCCAGCTGCTGGACGTCATGATGACGTCGCTGGACGGGTCGCCGCTCGCCGCGGCCGCGTTCAGCAACGCGCACGCGGCCATCGCGGACCAGTACCCGGACCTCTACCTCGACTTCATCTCGCGGTCCTTCCTCATCCACGACACGGACGTCGTGCCCCCGGGCCACAACTTCGCGCTCATGCCGCCGACGGGCGCGTCCGTGACCGCGGGCAGCGACCACCGGTCGCCCGCGGACTTCTGGAGCGACTTCCTGGTCAAGGCGGGCGCGCGGTTCCGCTACTTCGAGCACCGCGAGTCCGACGACGGCGCGGCGCACCGGCCCAGCGGCGCCTTCCACGCGCGCAACTCGTTGCGCCACATGCTGAGCCGCCGGTCCTTCGACGGCGGCCGGGCCGGCGCGGCGCCGACGTTCGCCAACTTCGCGACCCTGGGCGGCGCCGGCGTCCGCGCGCACCTCAAGAAGACGGAGGTCGCGGCGATGATCGTGCCCTTCGAGCGCGTGCTGGGCACCTTCGGGGGCGACGCCGTGAGCCAGGACTCCGTGCTCGCGCTCGCGACGCGGTGCGCGGCGTCGATGAACGACTACCGGGTCTTCGAGAGCCAGATGGTCCGCGCGATCATCCAGTTCAAGTGGGACCACTACGCGCGGTCCATCTTCATCGCCCAGTGCGTCCTCTGCGTCTTCCACTTCGCTTTGGTCATCGCGCTCTACGTCGCCGTGACGCCGGCGATGCGGCTGCCGACGCGCTGGGACCCGGGCGACCGCGGCCGGCCCGCCCACGGCCTCGGCGAGGTCTTCGCCCTCGCGCTCTACCTGCCCGTGGTCCTGCTGACCTGCTTCCTCCTGGGGCTCGAGGTGCGGCAGATGCTCCTCGAGGGGTCGCAGAACTACTTCGCGGGCCACGCGGTCTGGAAGGCGCTCGACCTCGCGTGCCTGTCGCTCCAGCTCCTCGTCGACGGCCTCCTCGCCATGGAGGTCGGCGGCTGGCTGCTGGCCTTCTTCGCCTGCGTCAACGTCCTCTTCTTCAACTGGCGCATCATCTCCTTCGCGCGGGGCTTCGAGAACTGGGGGCCCCTCGTGCGCATGATCGTGAAGATCGTCTGGGAGGTGCGCTTCTTCTCCGCCGTCGTCGCGCTCATGCTCGTCGGCTTCTGGCTCGCGTTCGCCATCGGCATGCAGGAGACGCCGACGGAGTGGCTCATGGTCTTCCTCTTCAACGCGGGCTTCTACGGCGAGTACGAGAAGGACTACCTGAGCGGGGACCAGGGCTTCTACGACTGGCGCATGGACCGCCAGCTCCCCATCACGACGGTCCTCCAGCTCTTCATGCTCATCTTCGGCGTCCTCGCGCTCAACCTGCTCATCGCCATCATGAACAGCGCCTACGAGCGCGTCCGCGCGTCCGCCGTCGCGGAGATGCTCCACGAGAAGAGCATGATCATCCTCTCCATCGAGCGCCTCTGGCTGCCCATGGTCATCTCGGCCTACGGCATCCCCCACGACTACTTCTTCCCGCGCTGGCTCCTCCTCCTCGGGCCCATCTCCATCCTCGACGTCTCCGAGGAGAAGCGCCGGGCCATGCACGACCGGGTCGTGGGCATGCGGGAGTCGCTAAGCTGAAGCTCCGAGGTTTAGGGCCCCTAGAGCTCCTCCCGCGCCTCGCGCTCGCGGCGCGCCCTGTAGTGCGCGCAGACCTTCTCGGCCTTCTTCGAGAGATCCGCCTCGTCGCACCATCGCGTCTGCGAGGGGGGGTGAATGGCGCGCCGCGCGAAAAAAACGCGCGGCGGAGGGACGCGGGCCGCGCGCGTGCATCTCCTCGACCTCGTCGACCGGCGGGCTCTTGTTCGCGCCCATGTAGAAGCCGCCGCCGCGCACGTCCTCCCAGTGGTCGCAGACGGCGCTCTCGACGCGGTCGACGCGCGCCTCCTCGCGCTCCTGGCACCAGAAGTCGTGCATCTCGCGGAGGATGGGCTTCGGATAGACCTTCATGATGCTCATGGTCGAGATCTCGCCGAGGAGGCCCTTGCTCTTGCGATGCATCTTGCGATGCTCCTCGGATTTTTTGTGCATCTCCTCCGTCGCGCCCCGCGGCCAGCCGAGCGCGCACGCGCACCACGCGGCGGCGACGACGACAACAACACTACGGCTGCCCGATCTCCGCATCGTGTCGTCCGACGGCGTCTGTGGGCTGTTTCCCCTGCATGTTGAGTTCAAGTTGCACTGTAAGCTCTTGACTGAGATCACCACAAGGTGACAAGGTGAGACGACTTGCGTGCTCATCATCGCGCGGCTGTGCGCTCCCATTCACCGGCGCGCGCGAGTCATACACCATGGACCTCGTCGCATTGCTCTTGCTCGAAGACGGCCGCGAACCCGTCGCCGCGCCGGAGCCGCTCCCCGCCGACGCCAGCGCCGCGTCCGTCGCGCTGCTCTGCGCGCAGTCGACCTTCGCCGTGCTCAGCGGCGAGGGCGAGAGCGCGCTGGAGGCGCGGCGCTTCGCGTTCTGCCGCGACGTCGTGCGCCTCGGCGCGACGGGCCGCGGCGACGTCGGCGCGCGGCGGCGCGCGCGGCTCGTCGCGGTGTGCGCCGCGCCGCT